TGTGCTTGAGGATTATAAAGTCATATGTGCACACGACTGCGCATGTGTAGGAATATGGTCTGATCTTACTTTTAGTCATGTGTAGTCTGATCTTACTTTGAGTCATCCTTCTTCATCTTCACTTTTTTCTTTCTTCATCGTCTTCATCTGTGAGTGTCTTAGAGCAGAAGATTTTCTCTATTATAGTCAGTTTTTCTATTTCTGCTTATTCTGTAGCTGTTGCTCCAGACTTCAGCGCGTTCTTAGATGGGTGTCTGTTGGTAGTTTCCCTGATTTATCAGTCTTTGTGTCTCCAAAAGGATTCCTTTCTTATGTTACCTGGCTCCTTCCACTTCCTTTGCTTTATATTTGCTGCCCCTTCATCTCTGTCTTTCTGTGTGTGTTATTTTAAAGAATCACATATGAAAGTCCATGTCTTTTTATTGGTGCATTTTAAACACCTTTTAGTGTATGTATTGCTTTTCATCCAGTTGGCATTTTGGCAGTCTGTTCCCTTACACTTTCTTTTAACGAAATGTTTTCATCTTTTTTCCATATTTCTAACTGTTGGGTAGACGTGAACTTGCCAGCTATGCATCTTATCTTTCAATTAATTTCTTCCCTGTTTTTGTTTTCGTTTGTTTGTTTTGCGAGACAAGGTCTCACTATGTAGCTAGCCCTGGCTGTCTGGAAACTCATTATGTAGTCCAGGCTGGCCGCAAACTCAGAGATTCTCCTGCCTCTGCCTCCCGACTGCTGGGATTAAAGGCGTGTGTCACTATTGTCCAGAAGTGTTTTTCATTTTTAGAAATTGTGTGTGTATAGGTGTTTTGCCTGTTGTACGTCTGTGAGCCACATGTGTGCAGTGCTTGTGGACGCCAGAAGAGGGCATCAGGTGCTCTGGAAATAGAGTTCAGACTTTGTGAGCTGCCATGTGGGCGCCAGGGCTCAACCCCAGGTCCTCTGGAAAAGCACTCAATGCTCTTCCGATCGTCATCGCTCAGGTGGTGAGGGAGCAAGCACACATGTGCACCCCAGTGTGCAGTGGAGGGCAGAGGCCAGCTGTTTACTGTCCTTTCTCCTTCCTCCTTGCTTTGAGGGCAGCTCCTTTACTTCTACCATCATGCTGTGTGCTCCAGGCGAGGTGGCCTGTATGTTCTGGCCGGTTCTCCTGTCTCTGCCTCCCGTCTATTCCGGGCTTGCCTTACAGACGCGTGTGTCTGCATGTAGTTTTTTATGTGGTGTCTGGGGTTTGAACTCAGGTCTTCAGGGGTTTGTGGCAAGTGCTTTGGCTGGGTGAGTCATCCTCCCAGGTTGCATTTCCTACTTGGGTGGGGGTGTCCCTAAGTCATCAGCACCCTTTCCTTTCTTAGTACCAGGCTTCTCAGTTAACTCATTCACTGCTGTTCTGTTTGTTCCTTCCTACCTTACTGACCATGATAAATGTATCCAATTCTTTCTTTTAGAATTACCCTGACTATTATCTGTGTCATGGGCCTGGCTATTGTAAAGTTATGATAGTATTCTTTCTCTTCCATGTCACACAGCACTGTCTTGCATTTATTTGCCTGTTTCCTCACTGAAGTATTTCCTCCGAGGGAGTTTTGAATGAAGGCATTCATGTGATAGAGAGCTTTTCAGAATGTGAACATTCGGGAACAGTTTTCTTTCTCATATGAAGCACTAGCCTGCCTGACTATATAAATCTATCTTCAGAGGTTTTCCCTCACCGTGTTGGAAATGTTAACTCCTTGTCCCCTAGTCTGGTGTTTTTAGGAAGACGCTGGTTGCAATGGGCTCCTCGCTCCTTAGGAGACATGTTCTCAGTGGAAGCTTTAATAGCGATATTTTCTTTTCTTTCCAATTTTTTTATTTTTATTTTTATTTTTTTAAATTCTTTTATTATTATTATTATTATTATTATTATTATTTTGCTTTGGTGTTTATAAGGTTTACAGCTACGAGTGGGTGTGTGTTTTCTTTAGCTGCGTGTTTGGGGCACCAGGTGGCTGATTGTGGTCTCTGTGCTCTTTAATAATGCACATTTTTCAGCTCTTGCCTTTCCAAAGACACCTCTTACCTTTTATTCTCCTGCTGGGACTTCCGTTAGGCAGGTTCTGGTCCTCGGCCTGAGTTCCTGTCACCTTGGCCTGTGTCCCTGTCATCTTGCTGCCCCCGTTACCCTCACCTTGCTCTTACTAATTTTGCTTGCCTTTTCTGTTTCTTTAACCTGATCTTTGAGCTCACCGATTTGTTGTGAGTAATATTTGTCTGACTGTTGGACCTGCCTGTGAGAACAGAACAGAGATGAAGAGGAATGCTTTCTGAGTCTCTGCGGCTTTTCTCTGTAGACTAGGTACATCCCTGCCAGTTTGGGGACTTGCTTTTGAGAGTCGAGCATCTAATGCACGGGATGCACTTCCAGCAGGACCGTTTATAGGAAGCAAGGGCGGATTCTCTCTGCATGTGTTTGTTTAACATGCCAGCCCCTCCCCCTGCCCTTTATAACTGCCTTTGCTCTTTTAAGGCTACTTACCTTTTGGGGTACATCTGTCATGTTGTTGGCGTTCTTAGTTTTCTGTCTGGTGCCTCTGCTTTCTCTGTCACTGTCACAGGCAGTCCAGCCTGTTGCCCTTGTTTGAGTGGCTCTCTGATGTCAAATTATTGTTTTCTTTGACTGTATATTTTCGGAAGGGGGGGTCCGCTTCCTGTGTACCAGTGTCTGTAGGTTAGTGAAAGGGTTGTTGTACAGCTCAGTGGTAGAGTGGTGTGGTGCTCAAAAGCCCTGGGGTCAGTCCCCCATTCACAGACGTGCACACACCACATCACACATACACACACACCACACATACATGCATACACACCACACATACATGCATACAGACATACACCACACCACACACACACCACACATAAACATACACATACACATACTTACACCACACCACACACACACACATACAGCTACCATAAGAACTTGACAGGAAAGCAATGATAGAAAGAGTAGAGGGAAAGCCTGGTCTTCGCTAGGATTTACAGAAGACAGGCAGGGCGAGCTCCGCCCTGCCATCCTCTGGGCCTTCCCTACCACACTGGACTCTGCCTCGCAGTGCCTCTCTCTGCATCCTGCATCCAGGCCTGTGTTTCTGGGCTTTACTTTCCTCGGTGGTGATACCTCACTGTGCTGTGGGTGTGAGGACCTGGCCAGTGACCAGTGTCCTGCGCATCCCAACACTGTCTGGTCTTGCCCTCCACCGTGTGCTTTCGTACCACGTGCTACCAATCTTTGATTCTGCAGGCATCCATGGCCCATGGTGCTCTTTTTCTGCATAGCTTTTGCTGCCAGGAGAGCCCAGCTCCCCTGAAGGAATGGTGGAGGAAGCTACACAGTGCCACCTGCCAAAGCCTTCCCCAAATTCTCTTGTGGACCTAGACTTTCTTGCTCTCTGAGCGTGTCTGCCTGTACACCTTCTATCCGACAGAGTTTCTTGCCAATGCCATATCTATATAAGTCCATATTTCTTCCCCTCTCAACTTTATAGAATCTAGGTTAGGAGAGGAACCCAATTGTCCTTGTCAATTCTCCCCTTTCTTATGGTTCTTTCTTTCTTTCTGTCTGTCTGTCTGTCTGTCTGTCTGTCTGTCTGTCTACCTACCTACCTACCTACCTACCTTTCGGGATAGGTAGGTAGGTAGGTAGGTAGGTAGGTAGGTAGGTAGGTAGGTAGATAGATAGGTAGGTAGGTAGGTAGATAGATAGATAGATAGATAGATAGATAGATAGATAGATAGATAGATATAGAGATACACATTATTTCTATACTGAAATCCACATATATTGGGCTTTTTTGCATATATGTACATGGTACTCATGTATGTATGTACATGTGTTCATATGTGTGCGGGTGCACATGCTCATGTGTGTGAATGCCTGAGATTACTGTCAGGCACCTGTCTTCCTTGATCACTCTCCACCTTATGCACTGAAGCTTGGTCTCATACTTGAACTCAGAGCTCAGCCATTCAGCTAGTCTGGCTAGCCAGGCTGCTCTGGGAGCCTCCTATCTCTACCTCCCCTGTGCTTAGATTATAGGCAGACTGCATGTCCTCTTGGCTTTTATTATTTCATTCATTTATTTATTCATCCATCCGTCCATCCATCCATCCATCCATCCATCCATCCATTCATCCATCCATTCATTGAGACACAGAGAGAGTCTGTGTTCGTCTGGGGGTTTGTGCATGCCACTGTGCATATTATAGAGATTAGAGGACAATTTTAGTGAGCTAGTTCTGGCTACCATGTGGGTCTTAGGGAACAAACTCAGGCTGTCGGACTTGGCTGCAAGCCTCATTATTTGCTAAGCCATTTCTTTGGTCCCCACCCAGCTTTTCTCCTGCAGGTTCTGGGGGTTCTGAGCTCCAGTCCTCCTCACACTGAAGTGGCAAGCCCTTTATCTACCGAACAGCCACCTACCTGTCAGGATGCTTTTTAAAACTAAAAACTGATTCATGTTTTTTTGGTAGCTCTGCAGGTTGGTTCATCTTTGTTTCACCCTGAAGGATTAAGGGAATGAAATAGACTTTCAGAATAAGAAAATTGTGTTTGAAAGTCAGCCTGCATTCTCCCACCTTGGATCAACAGTGTAATAAGACTTCCTGGAGCGTGGGGGTGCTGACAATGTGTTGGCAAGTTATCACTTTGCTAGGAATTCCTATCTTCTTGTCATTGTTTCGTTTGTGTTTTCTAACGAGACTTGTTCTATTAAACTGTTAGTTCATTCGAAGGCAGTTGGCGTTGGGCAGATGTTAGATGCGTTATGTGTATGATAGGACATGTAACATTGTAGTTGAGACCTGTGGTAGAAAGCACATGGTAAATTCATGAATGAAAGCAAATTGTGTTTGTCAGAAAATAAGTCTTCGGTTCCTTCCTAGGCAGGAGGAACACTTTTGGGCTTTTGTCTTTTTCTTTTTTGCGCTTACGTTTCTTCTGATGTTTGTTTCTGCCCATGCTGAAGATGAACAGCAGCCAAAAGGGATTACTGCCAGAGCCGAATCCAGTACAGATTATGAAAAGTTTGAACAATCCTGCCATGCTCCAAGTTCTTCTGCAGCCCCAGCTGTGCGGACGGGCGGTTAAACCAGGTGAGCGCGCACAGCCTGCTTGAGCACAGACGCTGGCATGAAGTTACTCCTGCTGCACTGGATGCGGAATGTAGGAAATACCTTACGGGTTGAAGCGCACTTAACACTTGTCCAGCTCTTTCCTAAGAACTATTAATGATCATTAATTGGCTATCTGAGATTGTGCTATGTCTTGGTTATTTCGTAGGTACAATTTACTTTTGTGTTCGTTTTCTGTGCCATTAGTAAGGTTTTAAATATTAAACCTTCTGTTGCGGTGAACTTCCAAACCCAGTAACAGTGGCACGCCACTACTCCACCGCCTGGGTGAGCCAGGAGCATCCTGGGTGAGCCGAGTGCGGAGCATCCCTTTGTAATCATTGTAGTGACTTACCTTGTGGAATGTGCTAATTTGCTTCTCTGTGTTCATCTTTGTCGTAAAGGACAAAGTAGTTTCCCTCTGAACCAGATGACAAAGGCATCGTCCTCCAGTTACCCAGATCTGTGTATTGTCGCTGTACTTTGATTGTCAGAGTATTCGGTATTCTTTTTCTGGTGTTTCCTCTGAAACAAACAACTTTACATACACAAGCTTTCTGTGTTAGCGTTATGAGGAAATGCGGAAGTTTGGAGTAAATATATTTAGCGTAAGCATGCTTGGTGTGTTTATTCCAGTTCAGTCCCAACTGGCCTGATGCCAGCTCCCACACGAGGCAACACAGACCCACTGTGTGGCTCTGTGTGGCTGTCCCCTTAAGTCCCTAGCTACAAGTTAAAGGTTCTCTAGGCTATCTGAACTTCTGACCAACTAGCATTACGAATTTGGGAGTTGCCAGAACCCTTCCATTTGGTAATCCTCTAGAATGCTTGGTAGGCTTCTGGAAAGAACCATATGTATGATTATGATTTTACTAGAAAGGACCTAGCAGAAATATACAAATGAAGACCCTTAGTGTGAGGGCTCCTCTGTGCAGCCAGGCCGTGATACTCTCCAGCATGTCATTAGTAGGGGATTTTTTAAAAAGAGGTATTGATGTTGACAACTTCATGTGTATGTATAAAGTATTCTGATAACTCTTTGCTTCCCTTCATCTCCCTCCCATTCCTGTCACCCACCCCATCCCTGTAACATGATGGGCTGGCTTATTGGGGTTTCTGCCCTGCCCAGTACCCCACAGCTGGCAAGCCCTAAAGAAAATCACACACAGAACTCCATAAGATTATAAACTGATTGGCCCATTAGCTCAGGCTTCTTGTTAACTAATTCTTACATCTTACAGTAACCCATAATTCTTGTCTGTGTTAGCCATATGGCTTGGTACTTTTTTCAGCTGTCAGCTCATATGTTACTTCTTCAGTGGTCTGAGCAGGAGTGGCGGAATGGGCTTCCTCCTTCCTAGCCTTCTCTTGCTCTCGTTGCCCCACCTCTACTTCCTGTCTGATTGACCCACCTCTGCTTCCTGCCTGGCCAATCAGCATTTTATTAAAATACATGATTGACAGAATACAGATAATTCTCCCACACCCCATCCCTGTCACACACCCCATCCCTGTCACACACATCCTGTCCATACCAGTCCTTTTCCCAGACTCATGACTTTTGGTTTTGCTTTATGACCTGTTTAGTTTAACTGGACCTCGTGGGACCATTGGATTGACTATCCATTGGAGCCTGGTGTGGAACCGGTGGGTTCATAGCATAAGCCGACAAGTCTTCTTCCTGAATTGACCAGTAGAAAACAGTTCATCAGTGAGGGGTAGGGAGGGCTTCCTGATCTTCCGTCCATGCCTGACTGTTGCTGGTCCATTCTTGTGCCCAGCCTGTGTAGGCATCTTCAGCTGCTGTGAGATTGTGATTGTAATGGCTGTGTTTACCCAGGAGATGATATTTCACAGCCGTCTTCTCTGTCTCCTGGCTCTTACATACTTTCTCCTCCTTTCCGCACGGTGTTCCCTGAACCTCAGAGGAGATGGTGTCAATGTCTTGTTTAGGGCCGATCTTGGGTCAGTCACTTACTCTCTATACCTTGTGGGGCCATGCGTCTCTGAATTGCGTTCACCACCATTCCCTTGAAAGACAAGTTTCTCTAATGAAGGCTGAGAGCAGCATTTTTCCATAGGTACAATCATAAATATTTAGAGGGTAGCTTGACACTATGTCAGCTTGCTAAAAACAGTGCTCAGTTCCCATTTTAGGGCTCATCGTCTCCCTGGTCATGGGCTTTTGACCAGGTTTATAGAATCAGGCATGTGGATCCAATCAGAACCATTGGTTACCCACGTACCAGGAGTGCCACTGGTGCACAGGATGTGGCTTGCCTGCCAGGCTGGTCTTGTAGCTCACAGAGGTTACTTCTGGGTAAGACTGTTGATTCCTTCTTTCCTCCTGCATGGTAGCCTGCATGGCTCTTCCCAGAGCTGTGAAAACCAGCAGCAGGAACAGAGCTTCAGCCCAGTTCTAGCTTGGCTTTCTTTTTTATATCATGCATTTAGGGTATGTAGTGCGTACGGTTTGCTTTCCATTGTTACGTTCAACACCAGGAGCAAAAGCAACTAGAGGAGGAAAGGGTTTTCAGGTTCCTCTCACAGTTGATGATTGAGGGAAGTCAAGGCAGGAGCTCAAGCAGGAGCAGAGGCGGGGCCCACCGAGGAGCAGGCTCACTGGTTTGCTCCTCACTGCCTCTTCATACAACCCAGGACCACCTGCCCAGAGGTAGCACCGCCCACACTAGACTGGGCCCTCCCACATCTATCATTGATCAAAGAAGTGTTCCTCAGGCTTGCCCACATTTTCTCAGTTGAGAATCCCTCTCCCAGATGACTCCAGTCTGTGTCAAGTTGATGAAAAGAAAAACAAAACCCCCTAACTAGCACAAAGGGTACCTCGCCCTTGGCATTGCAGGTGTTGATTAATAACTCACAGCTTCTGGGAGCTGCTGTTCCCAGCCATACAGGGTCTTTTTAGGAATTGGAACTCTGTGGCAGTTTCATTGTATGTGGACCCCCCCACACACAATATATTACTTCTAGATTTTCTAGATTGTCCATAAAACATGGTGTTCATACATGACAGCCTCCTGCTGGTTGGTTATTGATTGGCAGCGGGCAGGAGCCCTGCATTCCTGTTACTCTGCAGTGCTTCTCCTGATGCAGTCCAAGGTTGTTCTGGTGTATAAAGACTCATACTGTGCTCTTAGGTCTTGTAGAAGAATATTGTCCACACCTTTGGATTGTGGGCATCTTTGATAATTCTGGCCCTCCGGAGCACCAACACTATGTATTTCCACCCCACTTCTCTATTTGAATTGGTTTGTGGTCACATAAGAATTTGGTTTTGTTTTGCTTTGCTTTTTAGATTTGATTTGATTTTTTAATTTAAAAACTATTTCTATAGGGGATGAGTATGTATACATAATGCAGATCCCTAGAGCTGGAGTTGCAGGCAGCTGACATGGGTACTAGGAATCGATCTCTGGTCCTCTGCAAAAACAGTATGTCCCCCATCACTGAGCCATCTCTCCACCCCCAGGAGTGCGTGTTTTAATGTTTAATGTTACTGTCTCTATTTTAAGATGTTTTACTATTTACATGGATGGAGATGTTTTTCCCGTGCCTGGCTTTGTCTTTGTTCGGGCTGGTCAGGGAAGAAGATTAAGTCTCACTTCAGTGAGCACAGGCCGAGCTGGAGGATGCATGCCAGTTGCTCTTCGGTGTTTTCTTGGGCAGTGGGTGGGTGCTGGGAGCAAGCCCAAGTGTGCTCCACACTGCTGAGCTGTACCTGCAGGCCTCATTGGTAGACCCAATGAACATCTAGATCCTTTCCAGATTAAGGAGGTAAAATTGCAATGAGGATTTGTTTTTGTTTACACTTATACATTTATGACCTTGGGTAAATAGCTGGTTGTAGATTTGAGTCATGTTGATGTTAACTTGGTGTGTTACCATTCTTGGTTTTGGATATGGACTCACTACCTTACTGGGAATGACTTAGTATTTTTTTCTGTTGCATGTACATTATGAAAAGCTATTGCCAGGACCTTTTCTGAATGCCACTTTGTGATTTATATATATTGTGATATATGTGCATACTTAGATGAAATTAATCATGTGTTTTCTATTTTATGGTTTTCTTCTCTGCATGTTATATATTCCAAAATTATCTCTTCTGAAATGTGTGGGGTATTTGGACTCAGAATTAGAGTATAGTTACTCTTTTTTCCTTGTATCTAGATATACAGTTGATTTCTTTGGAGATGAGGTCTCACTGTGTATTTCTGGCTGGGCTGAAACTTGCTGGGTAGACAGGACTGGCCTCAGACTCCCAGAGATCTGCCTAGTGCTGGGATTCAAGCCATGCCTCACCATGTCCTGTTATGTATAGTCACATTGCATCCTTTTAGCTTCTATGACGTAAGAATTTCTTTCTGCACATATATATTATCTTCAGTAAAAGACTTTTTATAAGATTTTTAAGGATGAGGGTTGCATCTTTCCCTATGCCCTACCTTCTGACAAAATTCTCCCAAACACCTGATAAGGCATTGGGGAGCTGAAGAGATGGCTCAGCAATTAAGAGCTCTTGTTGTTCTTGCTGGGGACCATGGTGGTAACTGTGTTCCAGGGACTCCATCTCTCTTCTCACCTCCTCGGGCGTCAGGCACTCTGTATTTACGCACAAGCATGGATAAAGACGCTGAGCCACTGCCAAGGCCTCCGTTAGTACCATGCTGCCAGCACAAGCTGTGCCGGGTGCTGGAGACAGGCAAGCTTAAAGACAGAAAGTGTGGGGATTCTAAACCAGCTTCCAGGATTGAATCACAAGGAAAGAAGTCTGTCACTCTTAGCCAGTAGATGAAACTCCCTATGCAGGTTAAAAGTTGTGAAAGAAATGCTTTTGGAACATGCTGTAATTTTAATTTCTTAAGTCACGTGGTTACGGTTTTACTTTGACTGACTCTGATCTTCTCAAAACAGTTCTCGGAGTCGCACCCAGCTTGTCTCATCTGCTGAGCCCATCCCTCCCCTCCGCGCTACTACACTTCAGTAAAGCACAACAGGTTTGTACACATCACTGAAGATTCAGAGGGACGACTCCCCCGACCCCAAACCTCCTAATCCTCCTGCCTCCATCTCTCAAGGATTACAATAACCATGCCAGACCTTGTCAAGAAGTTAACTGAGCATTTTGCATTTTAAAAATATCTGCCTGCCCTTCACCCTTTGTGTTACTAGGGATTGTCCTGGAGTTTACTGAGGCTGGCCAGAGCTTCGCTGCTGACTGACATTCCCAAGCTTTATTTTGACTTTTGGTTTTGACACAGAATGTTACCGTAGTTTCCAAGGCTGGCCTTTAACTCCTACTATGAACTTGTCATCCTCCTGCATCAGCCTCCTGAGGAGCTACAATTATAGGCCCGTGCAGCTGGACCTGATAGAGATCAACCTTTAATAAGGATAGTTACATAAAATCACAGGATGAGTGTGTGTGATCCAGTGCTGATGGAAACAGCCCAGAGAACAAGGTGTGTGTG